CTAATCCATCTAGCCTGCATATCCCTAGACACTACAAGGCAATTTAGCATGGCCAACTTACCTAACCTGCTCATCCCTAGATACTGCAGGGCAATTTCCCATGGCTAATCCACCTAATCTGCACATCTTTGGACTGTGTGAGGACACTAGGGCACGTGGTGGAAACCCACGCAGACATGGGGAGAATGTGAAAACTCCACACAGACAGTCACCCGAGGCTGGAATTGAACCCGGGTCCCTGGCACTGAGACCAATTGTCATCAAACCCATCTGGATCATTAATGTCCTTTTAATGCCATCCTTTTAATGGCCTACATGTGACTTCAGACCCACGGCAATGTGGTTGACTCTAACCTGCTCTCCGAAATGGTCTAGCAATCCACTCAGTTCAAGGGCAATTAAAGATGGGTAACAAATGCTGCCTTGCCAGCAATGCCAATGTCCCATGAAAGAATTTAAAAATCTCAATCCCATAGCCACCCTCTCGACACGGTAATATTTCTGACTGATCAATGGCTCTCGGGGAGGCGATGACCTAGTGGTATTATCGCTGGACTGTTAATCCAGAGACCCAGATAACATTCTGGGGACCTGGGTTCGAATCCCGCCACAGCAGACAGTGGAATTTGAATTCACTGAATATCCGGAATTAAGAATCTAATGATGACCATGAATCCATTGTCAATTGTTGGAAAAACCCATCTGGTTCACTAATGTCCTTTAGGAAACTGCCATCCTTACCTGGTCTGGCCTACCTGTGACTCCAGACCCACAGCAATGTGGTTGACTCATAACTGCCCTCTGGGCAATTAGGGATGGGCAATAAATGCTGCCTGGTCAGCGATGTCCCTCGTCCCTTTAATGAAATAAAGAAAAAAAAATTCAGTGGAGCTCACAGTGAAGTCAAGGGAATGTGTTGAGAACATTCTGAGGGTTGGTTTGGCAGCCTTAGGATCTCTCAAAGTGGCCAGGGATAGGATACTGCATCATTCCAAAGATTTCTCTATATCAGAATATCATAGATCCAGAATGATTGAGGGGAGAGTAAGTGTCAAACTGGGAGGTCATTTGTATTGAAATGCAAAGGTAACTGTGGGAAGCTCAAAGGGGCTGGAGGGAGTATGGAGGTAGGTTGCCGAGCAGGTTGAGGCTTTGGGGAGGGATTTGTGGAGGTGAGTGGGATGTACCACAGTACTGGAGTGGAGCATGAGGGTCCCTGATGGGTGGTTACAGCTGATAAGGAAATGGGTGGAACATATTTGAGGGCAAGGCGAGGGCATTGGATTAAGGTCTGGGGATGACAAAGAGAAGTGATTGAGGGAGCCTGCACAGACATGGCTTTGAATTCCAGGGTCACAGCTCCATGCACATTGCTACATCAATGCAGTGATCTTGATAGTCAGCCTCCAGAATGGTATTGATCCCGGTGAGTGGACAGAAGCCGCGGTGTGCCCAACACTAAATGTAGGCTTCCCATTGGGAAGAAGTGCACAGGACAGGGCAGTATTCTGGCCTGATTGTTCACTGCAGTCTGTTCCCTGACACAATGACGAGTCAAGTCATCCCTACTCTTTGGATCACTCTGGTGCAGCTGAGGGGAGGAATCAGTAGAGGTTGTCCTCTACAGACACAGGCAGAGGGGCTGCTGGAACTGCAACAGGGTGTGGCAACCAAGAACCAGTGCCATGCTGAGCATTGGCACAAATTCAAATGTACCTAAGCAATAGATGCTGTGACTCAGTGGGCAGCCCATTTGTTTCTTAATCTCAAGGTTCTGGGTTCAAGACCAACTCTAGATCTTGAGTGTGATATAAAAGTTCACACTCCAATGCCATATTGAGGGAAAGTTGCAAAAGTGTACTTTTGAAGAGGCATTAAATTGAACCCCCATCTGCCTGTTTGGATGAATGTAAAAGATCCCACAGCCAATTTTGGACAGCAGGCTAATTACCCCTGACTAATATTAATCTGTTAGAACATAGAACAGTACAGCACAGTACAGGCCCTTCGGCCCACGATGTTGTGCCGAACTTTTACCCTAATCCGAAGGTCTATCTAACCTCCATCCCCACCTTATACTATCATCCATATGCCTATCTAATAGACACTTAAATGCCCCTAATGAGGCCGACTCCACTACCCTCTCCGGCAATGCATTCCATGCCATGACCACTCTCTAAATAAAGAACCTACAACAGAAAAAAAATGGATTATCTGATTATCATCGCATTACTAATTGTGGGATCTTGCTGTGTAAATTGGCTGCCATGTTTCCTACATTGACTACGTTTCAGAAAATACTCCTTTGATTGTAAAGTGCTTGGAGATACCTGGGGATCATTGAGAGGTGCTGTATAAATGCAGGTCGTTTAATGCGAACAATCATCTGAGTGTACTTTTCATTGAATAAGTCAAGTTGGTTAAAAAGATGAAAGCATCATTATTATTGGAGTTATACAGACCACAAATTGTAATTTTCTCCCAAGTTTCTGAATTTCTATGTAGTCAGTGTACCTGGAACTGGATTTAATAGAGTACTGTGGTCCCCATCATTCCCTCCAGCTAAAACATAAGGGTGTCGAGCTCTCCAACTGAGAGCCTGGACACTTCACACGCATTTAGTGGTCACCTAGACATTAACAGATGAGAGGCAGGACTTCACAGACAGGAAATTGCCTTGCAAAGAACCACCGCCCAATCAGATGGAGTAAGTTCTGCAGTTACAGCACCACCATTGTGACAGTGGCCACTGCTGGTACTGCATCCTGCACTTGAGGAGGTGCTCAGCTCTGGGTCAGGACTTGACAACTGTTTGGAGGAGAGGTTCACGCCACAGCCATGCTGGCAGGATCCATGCATAGGCTGGATTGTTGGGTTTGAGAGGCTGGGGGTGGGGTATATCTGGAGGATTGGGTAGATGAACAATCTTGGGAGGGTTAGGGTGATAGTTTGTGCTCCAATAGGGCCTGTATAGGGAAACCAGCCAGGTTGGCTGCTTGGCTTGGTTCTTTCTCACTCACTGCCAGTTAAATCTCAGCAGTAGTGGCATGAAGCCCCTAAATTGAAAGTGTTTATCCACTTAAGTGCTTCAATTGATCCATAGGCAAGTGGGCTGTCTGATACCACCTACAGCCCCCACTGGCCCAGGTCCTTTTAGAAAAGTTTTGGCAGGAACAGGAATGAGAAGGTAGGTCCGGGTAGAGGAATATCAAATCCAGCCCCTGGAGTTTGAACCTTTTTTTGCAAATATTTTGAGGGAACGTTGATCCGATAATGTGTATTCTTTGAGGGTGAAATCTTTGTCAGGATGACTTTTTAATAGCTTGAATTCCTGTGCCTGATTTCTCCCCAGTCCTTCTCCATCCATCTCCCAGAAATTATTCCCAAACTGAGTGCCCACTTAAACGTGGCATTAAACATTTAATTATGTTAATCGAGGTGTAACATTCACTAGCTGCCCATTGCACAATTGACTAAAAGCTGGGCACTGGGAGCAAGATACGTTCCTTGCTCTGAGTGGAGGTCAGCCTAAAGACCACTTTGTGACAGGGAACACTGCAACAAATAAGATTTTCCCATTTCTCTCCCCTGGATCTGCGTCAATGCCGAAACTGTTTGGCACTGAACTGATTCAATGACATCAAGGGCCATTTTAATACAACCTACTATTGTTGCATTGTTGAAACTTGATGAAAAACCCTGTAACTTACTTTCATTGGAGGCATGGATACGAATGTTTTCATCTGAATCTTCAGTTAAATAGGCTTCTTTAGGAGTCAGCTTTTAAGCTGGAATTTGTGTTTTTGTGCAAGTGTACACGTCTTAGGCAATTTTATAAATTCTATGTTAAATGGAAATTTAGAGTGTGATCTTACTCATTTGTCTACACAAATGGGGAACAAAAGTCCAAAAAGAGTTACAATGCTTTATTTAAGACAGTATAACCTCCTTTAACTTAAGGCATGAACAGACATACACAGCAATAAATTAGTAGTCAATTTAACATTCAATAAATAAGCAACCAGATTCCAGATGAGGGTTTTTATTTTTATTTTATCCTGGATGTTGCTATCAAAGCTAACATTATTGCCACCTCTAATCGCACTTGAAAATGGTGGTGATGCACCTTCTTGAATATAACAGCATAGTTTGCTTGGATGTTTCAGAGGGTAGTTAAGAGACAACCATATTGCTGCGGGACTGGGCTCAAATGTAGACCAGACCGGATAAACACAGCAGATTTCCTTCCTTAAAAAGTTTATTCAGTATAACTGCAGGAACATCATTAATTGTAAGAACTGTTTATTCCAGATTTATTTAATTAATTGAATTTAAATTCCCCAGCTACTGTAGTGGGGTTTCAAATCATCTTTAATGGATCATGGTCCAGGCCTCTTGATTACTAGCAATATCGTCACCATCTTTGCACATCCTGTGTGGATGTTTTGGTACATCTAAGCCTTACTCAACTTCCTTACTTCGAGTATGTAGATACTTTGGAGAAATTGGGACCATTTTCCTCGGAGGAGAGAGGCTGAGAGATTTGATTGAGGTGTTCAATGTGAATGAGATTTCTGGCCAGAGTAGACAGGAAGAAGCTGGTGTTACTGCTGGAAGGATTGAGAACCAGAGTGCACAGATTTAACGTAATTGGCAAAAGAAGCAATGACGATGCAGCTGCTGGTTAGGGATGCAGTGCCTGAACATGTGATGGAGTCAAGTTCAATCAAAGAATTTGAGGGAATTGCATTACTGTCTCAGAAGGGAGAAACGTGCAGGGCTTTGGGGGACAAAGAACGGGGCGTGGCACTGGGTAAATTGCTCCTTAGGAGCGCCAAGTTAGGCACAATGGGCCAAATGGCCCACTACTGCGCTGGGTGCATTGGGTAATTACCAATCGCTTTGTTTTTGTTTATTCCAAGAAGTGTAGGGACTGTTGACTGTGTATTTTCTGAAGTAGGTTCCTACTTGACAGCTAACGCTGTGTCTGTATTCCACAGTACCCTTTCAACAGCCAGACACCGAGGATGGAGCCTTGCTTGATGAGCAGCACCCCAAGGCTGCATTCTACTCCGGTCACACCTCGCTGGCCCGAAATGCCTGCGGCTAACAGCTGTTACCCCAGCCCCACCATGCATTCAGCACGGTACGGCAACTCGAGTGAGATGTACACGCCCCTGGTTCCCCGGAGGAGTGCCGAGTACGAACATGCACAGCATTTTCCCGGCTTTGCCTACATCAACGGCGAAGCGACCACTGGGTGGGCCAAGTAACTCTCTCTCATCACATCCAGACAGTGGAAATACCGTCCCACAAATAATACCTGGTCAACTACGAATTGCCACTGAAAGCAATGCATGAAGGAAACGAGACTTTTTTTTGAAACACGTTCTGTCCATAGGGATTTGAAGAAAGCCCTGGTGGCATTAGCATCTCTGTGTAAAGCTGAGACTGATCAATTGGATCAGAAATGATGAGCTGGGAAGGTGGGGGTAATTACTTCTTATAAGTTGTGCAGTGGCACTGTCTGCAATGTGGACATCTGCACATATAAACTATTGCTTATTTCTTTAACACGTGGTCATGCTCTCTTTGGGATTTAACATTTTTTTTTAGCTTGTCTGAAGTTAAAGGTACAAGTGGACGATCCGTGGGATCACCTCACCAACCCTCCGCCGAATGCCTCGAGGAGATGTTGACCCCAGGAAGGGAGTGTGGCTCATTGCCTGCAAACTATCAACAAACCACTGCGTCTCAGTCCCAATCATGAAGATAGACTTATTGCTCCCTGTACCTGCCTTTCCTCCTCGCTGACGTGATAGTGGTGACTCTTGGGAGACACCGGTATCGCTTGATGTCCTGCAGAATGCAGGGGACACTGTATTTAAGTGTACCTATCTTTCCCTGTTGAAGACCAGCAACGTGCTGGCCACCAGATTTTCCACTTGGATGTAATTCTGCACTGCACAACTACAAGAGGTACAGTACTGTGGACATCGGACAACATTCGCTTGTGTTTTTGCATAGCCACATAAAACTCTTAAGATTCTTAAAGCTGTGCCTTAGAAACCATGTTGTGTATGTGTGAAAATATGTATCTAATTTTCTATTGTATTTTTGACAGACTATTTTGTAGAAATAATATTTCTTTAGCCTGTCTCTCTAGTGTGTGTGTATACTGTTTTCATCATGGTTAATTAACATAGCACCTGTATGTTTTGCGATTACAAAATGCGCTCAGCAGATTTTATGGACATATTACCCTATGGGTAAGGAGAATAATTGAAAGATAACCAAGAAACTCTAGGCTTTTTTGTTTTGTAAATAAAAGCACTGATAGCACCAAGTGTGGTAACTATGGCTGTGGATAAATTTGAAGTACATAGTATTATTTGTACAGATGTGCAAGATATATGAAGGCAATACATTCTCAAAATGAAAATACATTTTTAAAAAATTATCCAGTCTTTACTGTTCTTAATATTGTAACTGGTCTGTCAATGCTTGTGGCCAAAAACGTATTCCAGTGGTAGATGGTTGAATGAGATATTTATTTTCTTAACCGGATGGGCTACAGGAGTCAGAGGTTTCTCAGGTATGGTTTGCACATTGATGATTCAGTTTCTTGCCTGTTCATTTAGTGATTGTATTGCATCTGAGCTTTCCTGTAAGACTTGCACCTGCATAATTCGGTGTTTGATGTCCTTTGTGTAGAGGGACAGGTAATTTTGACATGCTAACTTACTTCCTAATCACAACAGAGGCTCACTTCAAACCCCTGGGTGAGGTGGTATGAGGATACTTTCAGAATTATTGACACAGTTTCCAAATAGAGAAGCATTTCACTGACAACTGTGCTCCTCTTTGGATAGTACAGAGGACTAAGCACAAAGCCTTGCAGACACACAAAGGTCATTCCACCCTTTTTGATTCTCCTTAGCCCAGCAAGCATTTTTTTTCTCAGGCAGTACATTTTCACGACTCACTGTGTAACATAAATTCTGCCCATTTTCCCTTAGGTTCTTTGGCAATAATGTCTCCTGGTCATAGACTTTCCTGTCAGTTGAAGCAATTTGTCTTTATTTACTCTGTTCATAATTTTGATCACTTTTCTTAAACCTCTTGTCAATCTTCTCTGTGAAAACAAAATCCCGACTTTTCCAGAGCCCCCACTTAACGGAAGAGCTTGGTACTAGAGCTATTTAATAAATCTCCTCAGCACCTTCTCCAAAGACTTGACATCCTACCTAACAGAGAAAAGCAGTGTAAGAGGCCCCAGGAATTCAATCTGGTTATGGAACTCCCATCAAGATGATAGCTTCTTCTTATTTAAATTGGTTCAAATCTAGCCACAGATAGCTCAATGAAAATATAACAAGGGAGTTTTGGTTGAATTTTTTATAGAATCATAGAATCCCTACAGTGTGGAAACAGGCCCTTTGGCCCAACCAGTCCACACCGAACCTCAGAACATCCCATCCAGACCCATCCCCCTATAAACCACTTAATCTACACATCCCTGAACACTACGGGCAATTTAGCATGGCCAATCCACCTAGCCTGCACATCTTTGGACTGTGGGAGAAACCAGAGCACCCAGAGGAAACCCACGCAGACACAGGGAGAATGTGCTTTTAATGAATTTCTCCGTGGTCAGTGTGACAATTTTCTCATTTTACATTTCTTAGTTTGCACTTGCAAGGTTCACTGTAATCTTGTATCATGTTGTGATTGTACTACATTAGTTCTTTGAAGGGATTATCTAATCAATCCTAATTCTCTGCTCTTTCCCCAGAGCCCTGCACATCTCTCCTCTCCAAGTATTCATTTAATTCCTGATTCAAGGTGATTAAATCTGCTTTCATTGCTCTTTCAGGCTGACCATTCCTGATCGTAACAACTTGCTGAGTAATTTTTTTCCCCTTATGTACACACCATCATTGCCCTTAAATTAGCCACCAAAATATTCAGGGCTACTTTTGACAATCTTTCCAATTATTCAATGATTCATTATGCTGCTCTTTCAAATGATATACAAATAAAACATGGGGCGAAATTTCAAAGAACAAAGAAAATTACAGGACAGGAACAGGCCCTTCGGCCCTCCAAGCCTGCACCGACATGCTGCCTGTCACAACTAAAGCCCACTACCCTTCCGGGGACCGTATCCCTCTATTCCCATGCTATTTATATATTTAACAAGACGCCCTTTAAAAGTCAGTATAGTATCCGCTTCCACTACCTCCCTCGGCAGCAAGTTCCAGGCTCTAACCCACCGCCCTCTGTGTAAAAATCTTGCCTTGTACATCACCTTTAAACCTTGCCCCTCGCACCTTAAATCCATGGCTCCTGGTAACTGAAAACAGAGTTCTCGGAATGTAGGTAATGTTCGCCATCCAAACTTGCCCTCAGAAAATGTTGGTGGGCTGTTCTTTTGAATCACTAGTTGAGGTTTGATCCAACTGAGAGGCCCCTCTAGAGGACAGTCAAGAGTCAGTCATGCTTGGTATGGGAATGGAGCCACCTCTAGACCAGATACATTTGGCAGGTTTCTTTCCCTAAAGGATATAGGAAATAGCAGTAGCAGCAGGCCACTTGAGCCCACTCTGCCACTCAGTGAGATTAAGGCTGATATTTTGCTTCAGTACTACTTTCCTGCACTAACCTCATATCCTTCCATGTTTTCAATATGTAAGAATCTATTGATCAACGTCTTGTACATGCTCATTCGCTGAGCCTCCATAGCTGTCTGAGATAGAGAATTTAAAAGATTCACCAGAGTGAAGAAATTTTTCACTGCAGTCCTAAATGGCCAACCCCTTAATCTGAGCCCATGGCATCTGTTTTTAAATGCCCCAGTCAGGGGAACATCCTTCCTGCATTTACCTTGTCAATCCCTGTAACAATTTATGCATTTGAATAGATCACCTCATTCTTCTAAACTCCACAGAATGTAGGCCCTGTCTATTTAAACTTTCCTCATGGGATTGTCCCCCCATCTCAGGAATTAATTTGATAAACCTTTGTTGCACTCCCTCTATGGCAAATGTATGTTTCTATAAGTAAGGAGACCAAAACAGCTCACAATGCTCCAGGTGTAGCCTCACCATAGCTCTATATAACTGCAGTAAGACATTCTTACTCCTTCACTCAAATTTTCTTATAATAAAGACCAACATACTATTTGCCTTCTTGGTTACTTGCTGTAATTGCATGATCACTTGCCGTCACTCATTAACAAGGGCACCCAAATCCCTTTGACTTCCCAGCCTCTCACCATTAAAGCAAATACTCTGCATTTCTGCTCTTCCTACTAAATGGATAACTTCACATTTCTCCTCATTGTATTCAATCTTCCAAGTTTTTGTTCACTCACTTGGTCTTTCCAAACCCTCTGAAGCTCTTTGCATCATCATTACAATTCCCATTCCCAGCTAGTTTTGTGTCACCTGCAAACTTAGAAATAATTCATTTAATCCCCATTCATCCAACTCATTGATATAGGTTATGAATAACTAGGACCCATACACTGATCCTGATGTTACGCTGCTAGTCACAGTTTGCCAACATGAAAGTAACCCATCTATTCCTACTCTCTGATTTCTGACTACGAACCAGTTCTCAATCTATGCCATATGTTTTAACTAATCCCATTCAATCTAATTCTGTTTACCAATAAGGACATACGTTGGGTAATTATAACAATCTGACAGTTTAATAGACACTTTAACTAATCCCACCTTTTTATTTCCAGATTTTTAAAAACTAATTTCAATTCTCTACCTGTCACAGTGGGATTTCAGTCTTTATTCTCAGATTACTTGTCCAGTAGCAATCACTCCACTACCATCCTTGTAAACAATTCAGTCAAATTTAACTCTTTAATGAAACGGAATTAAAATGAAGCAGGTGTAGCTTAGTGTGGCTTATCGTATTCAGTGCTAATGTCATTCACCAGTAATCTAGAGGTCAAGGCTAATACTCTGGGATGTGGATTCAAATCTCACTGCAGCAACTAGTGGAATTTAGCTTCAATTAATAAATCTTGAAAAGGAAGCTGGTATCAACAACCATGACAGGTATTATTAGTTATTTATAAAAAACATCTATTTCACTAGTGTCTTTTAAGGAAGGTGGTCTGCTGTCCTGACTCGTTCTGGCCTACATGTGACTCTAGCCCCACAGCAATGTGGTTAACTGATATCTGAAATAGCCTAGCAAACTGCTCTGTTCAAGGACAGGTAAGAATGAAGAACAAATGCAGGTCTTGTTA